GAGAGCTGCGTATTCTGAGTCCTCTGCCTTCAGTCAGGATGGCGTGACACAAGGCAAGTTGCTGGCGGGTTGCTTTCTCTTGCATGCAGACCCGGGTTTTTGGGTCAGCTCTCGCCATCTGGTCTCTTGGGGTCTTGGCTTTATGAGGTCACCCCACGTGAAAGCTTTCACCCTGTTAGGGGCCTTCCCTCTAGGCTTCAAGGGCACTAGGGAGTCCTGGGTGATCCTGTGTACGTGCAACCCCTCCCCCACTTCTTCCCTCATGGAGCCTCCCGCGACAGTGATCCCAGTCTTTAGGGGAGGGAGCAGACTTCTCTCTTACACCGTTCTAGCTCCTCCAATGGGGGCTCCAGCCTCTCTGCCCTCTGTCATTTGGCTGCTGTGACTCTCTGAGGATTCCTGTGCTATTAGGATATTTTCTGTTGGAATTTGGTTGCTCCTTTTTGTTGTATGTTGGAGGGAATATAGTCCCGGGCAAGCTCACTGCGCCATGACACTCACATCACTCCTGTGGTCAGTGATTTTTGATAGTACTGTTGCAGTTGTTTGGGGCACTGTGAACCACACTCATTGAAGATGGCAAACTTAAGTGATAAAAGTTGTGTGTGTTCTGACTTCTCCAGTGGCTGGATGTTCCCCTGTTTCTCCTTCTCTTCAAGTTTGCCTGTTCCCTGAGACACAACAATATTGAAATTAGGCCAATTAATGATCCTACCCTAGCCTTTAAGTGTTGAAGTGAAATGAATAGTTGCACATCTCTCACTTTAAATAGAAAGCTAGAAATGATTAAGCTTAGTGAGGAATACATGTTGAAAGCCAAGACAAGGTGAAAGCTATGCCTCTTGCACCAAACAAGCTGTGAATGCAATGGAAAAGTTCTTGAAGGAAATTAAAAGTGCTACTTCAGTGAACACACAATTGATAAGAAAGCAAACCAGCCTTATTGTTAATATGGAGAAAGTTTTAATAGTCTGGATAGAAAATCAAACCAGTCACATTTCCTTAGGCCAAAGCCTAATCCAGAGCAAGGCCCTGATTATCTTCAATTCTATGAAGGCTGAAAGAGGTGAGGAAGCTGCAGAAGAAGTTTGAAGCTAGCAGAGTTAGGTTCATGAGGTTTAGAGAAAGAAGCTGTCTCCGTAACATGAAAGTGGAACATGAAGCAGCGAGTGCTCGTGTAGAAGCTGCAGCAAGTTATCCTGAAGATCTAACTAAAATAATTAATGAAGGTGGCTACACTAAACAACAGACTTTCAATGTAGATGAAACAGCCCTATATTGGAAGATGATGCCATCTAAGACTTTCATAGCTAGAGAGGAGAAGTCATTGCCTGGTTTCAAAGCTTCAAAGGACAGGCTGACTCTCTTGTTAGGGACTAATGCAGCTGCTGACTTTAAGTTGAAGCTAATGTTCATTTACCTTTCTGAAAATTCTAGAGCCTTTAAGAGTTATCTTGTCTACTCTGCCTGTGTTCTGTAAATGGAACAACAAAACCTGAATGACAGCACATCTGTTTACAATGTGGTTTACTCATTATTTTAGCCCACTGTTGAGACCTACTGCTCAGAAAAAAAGACTTCTTTCAAAATAATACTGCTCATGGACAATGTACCTGGTCACGCAAGAGCTCTGATGGAGATGTGTACAATGAGATTAATATTGTTTTCATGCCTGCTAACACAGCATCCATTCTGCAGCCCTTGGATCAGGAGTCATTGGAATTTCAAGTCTTATTATTTAAGAGATACATTTTGTAAGCTTTTAGCTGCCATAGATAGTAATTCCTCTGATGGATCTGGGCAAAGTAAATTGAAAAGCTCCTGGAAAGCATTCACCATTCTAGTGCTATTAAGAATATTTGTGATTCATGAGAAGAGGTCAAAATATCAACATTAACATGAGTTTGCAAGAAGTTGATTCTAACTCATGGATGACTTTGGGGGCTTCAAGACTTCAGTGGGGGAAGTAGCTGCATATGTGGTGGAAATAGCAAAAGAACTAGAATTAGAAGTGGAACCTGAAGATGTGACTGAATTGCTGCAATCTCATGATAAAACTTTAACAGGTAAGGAGTTGCTTCTTATGGATGAGCAAAGAAAGTTGTTTCTTGAGATAGAATCTACTCCTATTGAAGATGCTGTGAAGATTGGTGAAATGACAACAAAGGATTTAGAATTTGACATAAACTTATTTGACAGAGCAGCAGCAGGGTTTGAGAGGGTTGACTCCAATTTTGAAAGTAGTTCTACTGTGGGTAAAATGCTATCAAACAACATTTTGTGCTACAAAGAAATTGTTCAGGGAAAAAAGAATCAATTGATGTGGCAAAGTTTACTGTTGTCTTATTTTAAGAAATTGCCACAGCTATCTCAGTCTTCAGCAACCTTCAGCAACCACTGCCTTGATCAGTCAGCACTCATCAACAATGAAGCAAGACCTTCCACCGGCAAAAAGATTATGACTCGCTGAAGGCTCAGATGATGGTTAGCATTTTTTAGCAATAAAGTATTTTTAAATTAAGGTATGTACACTGTGTTTTTAGACACAATGCTATTGCACACTTACTATAGTATGGTGTAAATATAACTTTTGTATGCACTGGGAAACCAAAAAATTGGTGTGATGGGCTTTATTGTGATATTTGCTTTTTTGCACTGGTCTGGAACTGAACCCACAATATCTCCAGGGTATGCCTGTATTCAGCTATCTTTTGATTAGTGTTAGTATGGTTTTTCTATCAGTTTACTTTTTAGTTTAGTTTTATTTATTTTCTAATTTAGTTCATAATAGTTTACATCATTGTGAAATTTCAGTTGTGCATTATTTCTTGTCCATTACCATATAATTGCTCCCCTTCACCGCCTGTGTCCACAAGCCCTCCCCCCTTCCCCTGGTAACCACTGAACTGTTTTCTTTGTCCACGTATTTGTTTATATTCCACATATGAGTGAAATCATCTGGTGTTTGTCTTTCTCAATCTGGCTTATTTTGCTTAGCATAATACCCTCAGGTCCATTCATGTTGCAAATGGGATGATTTTGTCTTTTTTTATGGCTGAGAAGTATTCCATTGTGTATATATATATATATATATATATGTATACCACATCTTCTTTATCCAATCATCAGTCGATGGGCACTTGGACTGCTTCCATGTCTTAGCTATTGTGAATAATGCTGCAATGAACATAGGGGTATATATGTTACTTTGGATTGTTGGTTTCAAGTTTTTTGGGTAGATACCCAGTAGTGGGATAGCTGGGTCACATGGTATTTCTATCTATCTTTTTACTTTTAATCTATTCATATCTCTATATTTAAAGCAGGTTTCTTATAGTTAGCATATATTTGGCTCTTACTTTTTAAAAAAATCCTGTCTGATGATTTTTCCTTTTTAACTAGGGTCATTAGACCATTTGTAGTTATTGATACTGTTGTGTTTAAATCTACCATCTTACTATCTGCTTTATATTTTTCCCGTCTATTCATCGCTCCATTTTTCTGTTTTTTCATTCTTTTCTTCTTTTGGTTATTTTTTATGATTTCATAGGTTATTTTAAGTGAGTAAATTGTATTTATTTAAACATTTCTCTTTTACCTAGTGACTTATTTATTCATTAAAAATAATTCTTTAAGGGGCTGGCCCCATGTTGTAGTGGTAAAATTTGTGCACTCCGCTTCAGTGGCCTGGATCTGTGGTTTCAGATCCCAGGTGTGGACCTACATCACTCATCAGCTATGCGGAGGCAGCAATCCACAAACAAAATAGCGGAAGATTGGCACAGATGTTAGCTCAGGGTGAGTCTTCCTCAGGCAAAAAAAGAGGAAGATTGGTGATAGATGTTAGCTCCAGGTGAATCTTCCTCACCAAAAAAACCCCCATTCTTTAATTATTTTTATTTATATAATTTAGCATACATTTATTAAATACTGCTTGTATTCAGTGTTTAGAAAAAGGGTTATTGAGTCGGTGAGTCTTAGTCTGGTTTTGGAAGAATGGTAAGATATGATTGGTTAGAGAATCTATTGTGGGTTAGTAGAAGGGCATGAGGTTGAAATCAATAGGGCAGGATTAGACGGGTTTAGCAGGGAGAACAAAAGTACAAAAATTATAAGAATGTAAAAGGCAATAGAAAATGCTTCAAGGATTGATTTTTTTTAAAAAAGTGTTAAAAACCTAACAATCTAATGAAATTATAAAACATATGCACATTTTATCACTTTCCTGGTTTGACTGTCACTTTTTTAATTCTCAGAAGGTAGGATACCATTAAATAAAGTAAAACCATTTGATTGAAATAAAGTTTAAGATCAAAATAAAGTTAAAACCTTAGAATCAAATCTTTATATTTGTACATTAGTCTCCTCAAGATCTTCTTAATTCCCAAATAAATTGTTTAATTCTTGTCTACCTTGACCTCTCCACTTCTTTTTGGAACAGTTTCCTGTTTTAAATTGTATGTTTTCTCTTGATTTTATCTACTCCTGGACGACTTTCAGTGTCCTTACTATAACCTTTTCCCTCCCCTAGACTCTTAAATATTGTTAATTATCCATGGATTTATGTCTGTCCTGCAGTTGTCTAATTTTTCTTTTTCTCAATAGATACTTTCATATCAGTTCTCTGAGAGTTTCAGTAAGGTGTGGGAGGTTTTCAGATTTTAAGTTGCCTCATTCTATTTATTTTCACCAGGGATTTGCAGATTTTAACTAATATCAGCCTTTAAGAGAAGGTTTCGCCTTGCCCCCATATACGTATTTTCCACTGAGGTATTTGAGTCTAATAGCCTCCCTCTTATAGTGTCTGATATCAGGCACTCCCATGGTTTTACTTTCTATTTAATATTTTTTTCTAACAATTTGTTGAACTGTGTTTTAACAAATATAATACATTCTAGTACTGTTGTAGTAATGCTCTAAGAGCTTTATGGGTAATGATTCATTTGATCCTTACAACAGCACTATAAGTTAGTACTGTTATTATCATCTCTATTTTGCAGATGAGGAATTGAAGTTCAGAGAGGTTAAATACTTCATCCAGGGCTACCCTCAGCAAGTAATGGAGCCAGGTTTTGAACGCAGGTAGTCTAACTTCAGAGCCATGCTTCTAACTAAATATTTTCATAGTCTTCTGGATATCCTTACTTTTACGTAAATATGTCAGATACTTAAAGTTCAGTGTCTCCAAAGCTGAAGTCAGTGGTTTGCTCTCCATCTGCACTGTATTCCCCCAAGCAGATTTGCTCCTCTTTTTCACATCTTAGTTAATGTCATTTTCCTTCTGGTAGTCTAAGCCTGAAGACTCAGCCATTCTAGACTACCACTTCTTCCTTCCTTCAATTGCTCCCTGCATCTTATTGATTTTTCCTTTTCATTAATTGTCAAATAAGTACATTCTACTCATTTTCATTGTCCCACCTTAGTTTAAGTCTGTTTTGACCTTTCATTTGTACTAGCTATTCATTCTCTTCTAACAGATGCTTGTCTGCTCTTTGGTACCTCAATTATCTTACTACTTGTAATCAATTGTTAGTTTATGTGTCTATCTTCTCCATTAGACTCTGTTTTTGTAAAAAAGGACATTGAATTATGATTTTATATGCTTAGTGCCTAGCTTAATATGTGATATACAATAGTTGTACAATAAACATTTTGCGAATACATGAATTAGCTTGTCATTGGATGTTAGTTTTGATGGCTTTAATATCATCACAAATATCAGATAAAGTCATTTTTTGGTCTACTTTTGGAAAAGTCTTTCTATGCCTTCTTTTTTAAAAGATAAAAATAGTTTCTGTAATTGTAGTGATCAAGGATAAAATGGACTCTTTTATATAGTTACATGTTATCTCCAGAATATATTGTGTAGTAAAATAATAACTTTGAAACTATTAGAATCTTCATATAGTTTACAACAGTCCAAATCTTCAATTATATTTTCAAGTATGAAACACTTATTATATTTTTTTGGTAGCAATTGAGCAGCAAGAGGGTTTGTATTCTTCCCATAATGCAAAAATATCTTAGAACTTATATAAATCACTGCCATCTCAGAGTGTGTGTGTGGAAAGAAATGAGACAAGTGTCATAAGTCTTTATTCTTTGGTATATAATCTAGTACCTGAATGTTAATTGCTTCCAATATTTAAGTAATGATATAAACTAATAGGGGACTTTTGGATCCAAATTTTAATGCATGGCAGTGGGCCTACATTTGCTAATAATTTCTGAAAGTAGTTGTATTCCCTAATAATTTCCCTGCATCAAATAAATGAAGTTATTTTTCTGAGGGGAATGCTTGAGAGATGGCAGTCATTTTCTTCATGACTAAAATTTTCATATATAACATGCTGCTGGCTGTGGGACTATCAGGCTTCTTTTTGTTTTTCAAAGCACGATTCTGCTTAACCGTTAACTCTGCGCTTGTGCTTTATTTGCAGCATCTGGCGAGGCCCCAATGTGAACTGCACAGACAGTTCGGGTTACACTGCTTTACACCATGCAGCCTTAAATGGACATAAGTAAGTGCCATTTATCTGGACTGGAATCCTTTTGTATTTAGTTACATGTAATGAAGTTAATTATGTCTGATGATACCTGTCTCATGTTGCCATGAGTCCCCTGGGCTTAGATGAATTTGGAGAGGCACCAAGTGGCAACACTGACAAATTAAACTTGGTAGGAATGTTGCTGAGGATGATTATGTGTAGAGTGTAAACTGAGAGAATTGCTCTAAATAGTCAAATATCACACAGGGAGAATGAAAGAAGTGACAGAACCATGTTAGTCATGTGTAGCTTTAGGGATGGGATAAAACCACTTAATAACACCACCCTTCCTTTTTTGGTGTCTTCACCTAACATGAGAGTATTCACTAACAGTGAAATCTTAATAGATTCTTGCTATTATAAGCCATGGACTCCTGAGCCACTTCAAAATCTTTCAAATTTATCTAAAATACTTTTTGTCATTCATGATGGTCTTTCTGGTTTTAAAGTTCTTTAAACTATGGAATTATGTTTCAAATAATGTGCTAGTATATAGTACAGAAAGTGAAAAAATGTGTGACTACTTTATTTCCAGTATTGTTGCTAGGTAACCTAACAGTTTAGTGACTGAGTCAAAGCGTGATGAAGCCTCTGAATGATGTGTCCAGATCTCTTCCTTACTGTTGGCTTCTTTGGCCATCTTAATTGCAGATTCAGGGTAGTACTATGTTTCTTAGTTCTAGTTGGGAAGACAAACTGTTAAATCTGATGGACAGAAAATCTTGGGCCTGACCATTTGAGCTAATACTACCTCTCTTGTTCTATTTCAGCTTGGCGTTATAAGCACTTCTCAAAATAATATTGTCACAAAATGGATTAGCATTCATATCCCTCCTTAGTTTTTAGTGAAGTATTTAGTAAATGTTATGGGCTTATAAATGACAGCCTATGAGGTTCTAACCATTGAGCTATGTTTCCCTATGGCCCACTGCATAATTTTTAGTTTCTATTGGCAAAGTACAAAGTGAACATAATTTAAGTGAATTGAATAGCAATCATTAAGATTATCATAGATAGGGGATTTGACTAGCTATCTTCTAAGATCTCTTTAATTGCAGTTATTCTCTGAGCATTACATGTATCTGCTTTGCTTTTGTCGGAAGATCTCATTTAGCTTTTCTTTTTAACACTTTCTAGAAAGATTTTACTCAGTGTCATTCTATAGGCATTAGACAAAAGCAGGAAAATTCTTATACCGTCTCTCCATCTCCACTAGTTATGTGACCTTGAGCCATTTAATTAACCTCTCTAGGTCTCACTTCAATGTAGTGAATACATTGGCTAGATATTTTTCATTGTTCCTTCCAATTATAACATTTTATGGTATGCTGTGTTGGTAATATTTGTGGCTCAGTTTTGTACTATGGTGCTATAATTCTGAAATTTGGATTTTTTTCTAGAGTATAAGATTTCTTGACTTTAAATTATTTAAATTATCCATGGGCTTTTAAAATTAGAGGTCGTTTATTCTACCCTACTGCCCTCATTTCCTTCATTTTGGAGAAACAAGGCCATTCTGGATGAGTGACTTAGTGGCTGCTTAGATGTTAAGGTGGGGCTGTGTCTAGGGCCTAAGCATTCTGGTTCCAGGTGTATGCTTTTAACAGTTCTCTACCTTATCTCCCCTGATGGCTATATGCACATCAGTTTCCTAAACTCTTGCTGGTTTTTCTCTATCACATTATGTATTTCTGGGCTGCGTCCCATTATTATGAAGTGGTGTCTTCTCTTGGAATGCTAATTTTAAAAAGATATGGAGAAAAAAATGCCATAGAATTTGTCTCAGAGCCAGAGTGATTTTTCTTTTCTTTGCCTTTGCTGTTCTCGCTTAGCATGGGTAATGAACAATTGATTGTTGTATTCTTCCCAAGCTTTAGCAGACAGCGTGGAAACACATCATTTCCGTATTTGTTGCTGTTGTATCCATTAGCTCAAGATTGTTTCCATAAACATTATGATTTCTAGGCTAAAGTTCATGGAATCATAGAGCTGGAAATACTGTTACAGGGTCCTATAGTTTATTCTTTTGCTTTGAGCACAGGCTTTTCCCCTACCCCCAACATATAATCTAAAGCTTTCATACTGCAAATTAATCCTGTTTGCTCTTATTTTGTACATTTTATTGGGAGCTTTTATTTACCACCACTAGGTAATTCACAAATGGAGCAGCATTTTGTACCTGAAATGCATTATTTCATAATGAACAATTCATCTCCACTTAGCCAAAACAGGACACAATGGAAAATGTACTGTATTGGTGATTTCCTGGGTCATTTGTAATTATAGATTAGAAAATTATTACCTTTAAATGATAGAAAGAAAACATGGTCAGAAGAACTAAATTCACTAGCAATGATTCTAAATTATTTCAATAGATAAGTTAGAGACCTATCTGTTTCTCTCTCGCTTTTTAGAAAAAAAATATATGGACGATTCATTGTCTGTCTCATATATTTCTACTACAACTTTGATTCTCTTAATTCTCTCTGAATGGCAATTAGACAGCCTGCCTGCCAGCCTTCCTTCTTCCTCCTTCCCTTCCTCTCTCCCTCCTTCTGTTCTTCCTTCCTTCGTTTCTTCTTTCCCTCTCTTTCTCTTCCTTCTTTCCTTTTTCTTCTTCCTTCTTTTCCTCTTCTCTTTTCTTATATCCTTTCTTTTAAATAATGATCTTATCATTCCCTATAAGGTTTTCCTAAACTTGTATATTCATATTTCATTTCAGTTCTCCTTCTCTTCTAAGCAAATTGCTCCCTTTTTTTCTGGTTAAGTTTCATTAAAGTACATTGGGTACATTGTGATTCTTGAACGCTATTTTGAAAAATTTCAGCAATAAATTGTTGTTGTATCTGAAATATGTATGTTCTTTGGTATGTTTAGGGTTAAAATATTTTCTCTTTTTGCTTCTCATTCCTTAAGTAAGTTAATGCTTGAATTGTAGACTCCATTATCTATAATCCAAATTGCATCTCAAATTGGGTATAGAATCTAGCTAGAAGGCTATCTGCTGTACTTTTGATTTGCTGTTTCATAGGGTTTCTAATGAAAGAAGGGTTCTTCCTCTAAAAATTTGTGTAATCTGGTCCATGAAGTTTCTTTTAATATCCTAGAAATATTGTTGGTCTCAATGTTTCTTTCTTGTATAAGGATATTAACCAGTTAAAATTTGCCTTTATTCACTCTATCTAGAAATCTATGAGAGTGAATTCAGTGTATAAAGAAGCTACAGTCAGAAAATGGAGAGTATTGTCCTAAAGTCTTTTCATCATGTCGAGCACATTTGCAACTTTATTCCAATTAACCAGGAGTAAAATCTTCAAGAAAGTCTGAAATCAAAAGGACCTTAGTGAATTTTAGAATATCCTTAGTTTGTTAATACTACATCCATACGAAGATGATTTGCATTTATTTCAAAGTTCTTAGGCCTACCAACATATAAAGGGAAGATGGAACAAAATAAATGTTTTTGCTTATGATTTAATTATAGGGAAACTTGCTGCTAATTTGAATGTTGAACCTTCCCAATTAGTTTAATTTTGCTCAGAACATATACTGAACTTCTTAAAAGACATTTCATATTAATCAAGAAGTATATTTATATCTATCAGAAAATGAAACAAATTAAATGTAGTAGCAAAAATCAGTACTTTTAGAATTCTTATATTTACCTGCACTTACATATATTAGCGTCAAGCTGCAAAATATTGCAATGATTTAAATTGGATTATTATTAAATTTGATATTTTGTTTTGCTCCTGGGAAGTGGAATTATTTTTCCTGTGATCCCATCAACCACATTTACTTTAGGATTTTAGAGCATTTCTTATTTATCAAATGCTGTATATCAGAAAGAATGCTACTTTATGTTTAAGATATAGGAATTATTTCTCTGCTTGCTCTTCTGTAGACATTGTTCATCAATATAACTTAATAGTTCATGGCAGGTGACCAAGCACAGTCAACATGTTCATTTGTTGATACGTCTGGAAGATATAAGGTGCAACTTAAATAAAAATAAAAAGTAATAATATGGATTTGGTGGGATCTCATTTAACTACTCTTTTAGTTTAGATATTTTAGAAAGTACTCAAAATTTGATTTGTTCTTAATGTGTCTGGTTGAAAAAGGTCTGTGTAATACATGTTACTTGTGATCTACGTGGATACATCATAAGAAAGATTAATGACAATTTGTTGACTAATAATTTATTTATGATTTGGTAAAACTGACAGGCACTCACTTGATCAGAGACATCACTTTATATTTCACAAGTATGTTTTTGTCGGGGAGGAAAGATAATTTTCTCTCTACCCTTCTGGGTTGTTGGCTGAGACCCCTTTGTGATAAAAAAGACAGATTAACAGGAGAAAAACAGAAGTTTAATAACATGTATACCTTCTGTGTACGTGGGAGATACCCAGGAAAACTGATTAACTCCCTGAAATGGCCCAAGTCACCACCTTAAATACTATCTCCAGCTAAAGACAAAAGAAAATGTTGCCGGTGGGTCAGCCAGTTTTGGGAGGCTATCAGGAAAAGCATAGTAAATAAAGGTAAGATTGGTATGCAGATTTAGGTTGTTGCCTTCTCCACTGATAAATTTCTAGAGATTTAGTCATCCTCCTCTTCCTGCTACAGAGAAGGAGACTCCCTTAAAAATGAGAGACTTCCCTTATAAATGTAAATATCCCTTACAAAAGACTAACTTCTACTCAGTTTTCAGAGCTTCTCCTGTGTCTGCAGTTTCTCAAAATAACCAGCTCAAAATAATCCTATGCCAAAGAGGCATATTTTGGGGTGGCATATTTTTCCCACCTTCATTTTCACATTAGAAATCTGAGCACAGCTAGTGCATTAGCTGGTATCTATTGTTGACCTAAAACAAACAAACAGCCAGTTATTTTACTAGAGAAATCTGTTTATTTGGGATCAGCAAAGAATTGCAATTCAGGATGTGTGGTCTTCGGCAAACCACAGGCAAGTCCCAAGAAACAAAGGAGAGGGAGGGTTCTTTTATTAAGTTGAGAGGAGCTGTTATAAAGGAACAGACTGTGAATTTGAAGTATAGTGGCTTTTCATTGGCTGAGTTATGGCAGTCTTTCATTGGCTGAGCTGTTGCAGGGCAAGGAGGGATGTCTTCCTTCCTTCTCCTAGGGTAGTAAAGTAGTATCGCTTCCTGTTGGAGATGCAAGATAGCGTCTCTTCCTTTTGGGGTCTGTAGTGTATGTTGCATGGCACATGCATGAGAGTTCTCTCTTCTGTCCTCCAGACTCCATTTTAAATGAGGTTTCTGTTTATTAATTTTCACACTCTGAGTAACATGAAAGGCTCAACTTAAATAAAAATTTAAAAAGAAATTTAAATTAAAAAATAAATTTAATAAAATAATTTTTTAAAAAGAAATAAAATTAATGGTATTTAGTTAAGATTTTAGTGTTTGTCAAAAAGAATTTCATAAACATACGGATTAGTCTTTTCTGATTTAGATATTAGATGCTGGTAACACTACACAATACAAATGATCAGTAAGTTAGTTTTTCCACTATATCATAAATCTTCCTGATAAATAAAGAATGAGTGCATATCACATACATTATTAGAAAATGTCAACAGAAATTGAACCAAGAACAAATAAAATTCTGAATGGTTTGAGTGAGAGTGAAAGAAAATAGGATTGATAATGCCATCAAACTTTCCTCTTTATCCTTTGAAAGGAAATGCTTTTAGGAGTTTCAGCATATTTTTTTATTTGCTTAGGCATTGAGAAATGAAATTAAAACCCTTTGCATAATTGTCTTTCCCTGATATATGAATTTGGAGAAGGCTAGTTTTTGATAAGTTCTACTTGTTAGAACCAGATATTTAAATTTATTGTGCTTCTTTTGGTATTATTTTACCTTTTATTTAAATGCTGAAATATTTCAGTTAAAAAAAATCACTGAGGGGGCTGGCCCCGTGGCCGAGTGGTTCATTCGCTCTGCTGCAGGCAGCCCAGTGTTTCGTTGGTTCAAATCCTGGGCGTGGACATGGCACTGCTCCTCGAGCCACGCTGGGGCAGTGTCCCACATGCCACAACTGGAGGGACCCACAGCAATGAATATACAACTATGTACTGGGGGGCTTTGGGGAGAAAAAGGAGAAAAAAAATCTAAAAAAGAAAAAAATCACTGAGATTGCTCAACATTGCAGCAGATTGCTTTGAGAATAGTTTTTTTTTTTTAAAGATTTTATTTTTTTTCTTTTTCTCCCAAAGCCCCTGGTACATAGTTGTGTATTTTTTAGTTGTGGTTCCTTCTAGTTGTGGCATGTGGGAAGCTGCCTCAGCATGGTCTCATGAGCGGTGCCATGTCGGCACCCAGGATTCGAACCTCTAAACCCTGGGCTGCCAAAGCAGAGCACGTGAACTCAACCACTTGGCATCGGGGCCACCCCGAGAATAGTTTTTGATTGTATACAATTTTACAATCATGTCCATTTCTTGTTTGATTCACCCCAGAACCCTTTGAGACTGGCAACAAGACGTAGTCTCTAAATTCTTTTTTTCTTTTTTTTTAAGATTGGCACCTGAGCTAACAACTGTTGCCAATCTTTTTTTTTTTTTTTCTGCTTTATCTTCCCAAATCCCCCCTGGTACATAGTTGTATATCTTAGTTGTAGGTCCTTCTAGTTGTGGCATGTGGGACACTGCCTGAACATGGCCTGACAAGTGGCGCCATGTCCGCGCCCGGGATCCGAAGCAGCAAAACCCTGGGCGACCACTGCGGAGCTTGAGAACTTAACCACTCAGCCACGGGGCCGGCCCCTCTGAATTCTATTTTAACAATATCTGAAAGAGAGACAAACGTATGAATTGCTCAAGATAACCAAGTTAGTAAGTATAAAGAGTTGGGACTTCGAACTAGATCTTCTGGTTCTTAGTTGCTTTTGTTATTCATAGGTATTGAATCCTTTATACCTCAGTGTAGTTATTTATTTCAGAATGGAGATAAACATATATAACAACTCTTGTAGTATCAGAGAGGTGAGAAGTGTGTGAACTGACAACATTCAAGTTTCCTTCTGATTTTCTGATTCTTTTATTCAAAGGTGATTTGCTGGAAGCATTTTTACTTTTAAAAGATTTTATTTTGCCTGGGGGCAAGATCTAATATTATCTAATGTTTCACTATTTATCAAGTGGCTTCTCTTCTGTGATCTCATTTAAAGCTTTGACCGGTCTTGTCCAATAGGCATTATTATTATTACAATATCCCCTACAGAAAACAAAAAGAAAAATGTAAGACTAAATAATTTCTCTAGGGTCACATCATTAGGTAGTTTACATAGCCGGGACTCAAATCCAAATCTTCTAAATTCAGATCTTATAAAATAATGTTGTTTTTTTAAAAAAAGAATGTTAAAATGACATTTATTCTTATTTTCTCTGAAATCTTATCATTAGAAAATTTAGGTCTCCTTGGAACTTTCTAAATATTTCTACAACATATACTTGGTCCTTTCATTATGACTTCATGCATTTATCCATAAGTCCAACATTGCAAGTTGAGGCTACATTCTGGGCAATGCATTTTACCAGTTACTGTAATTTTGTGTTGTATCATGTCTGTTTTTCTTGTGGGCTATCAGATCCTGACCTCACTTCTATTCAAACTTCCTCCAACTTTTCTCATTCGTTACTTGCATTTAGAGCCTGGCTTCATGAAATATTTAAATTTAGCCCTTTCTGTTACATTCATTCTCACCATTGTGATTTGTTATAGATGAGAAAAAATTTTAGAATATATTGTAATTATGTATGTATGTATGTATTTGTATATCTGTCTGTTTAGTATTTCATTTAGTGAATTAATAGAATTTGCTTCTTAAATGTATTAAATGTACAGTTTTTGTTTAGAATTACTGTTTGATTGATTGACACAAAGTTCAACATAATGCATACTAATAGTTATTAATTGATTCCGCCTAAGGATGAATATTGCAGTTCAAAATTTTTTACTTTGAAAACCTGATGGGGATTAAATACAGAATCCTTTAGATAGGATATATTATTGAGTATGTGTTGAAATTCTATCAGTGGTGGAACTTGTCTCTTAAGTGGAATTCCTTCTTTGGAATTTCCCTTCACAGCCGTTTCTTAGGCTTGGAGGAGAAAGTTGAAGGAGTGCAGAAGTATGAACAGCACACATTCAAAGTATGTTGTGTGCCGTGGCTGAAAAGTTATTAAACTTTTTTTCAACCTTTGGCTCATACTGCAGCTAGCTTGTCAGAGTCCCTTTCCTACTGTGCTGTCTGCTTTCTCTCTTATATGCATCTTCAATTCCTTTTTCCAATTCTCTAGGAATGATATAAACTCCCTAAATGTCTCTTGGTAGTATGATGACTTTTTTTTTTTGTAAACAAGGAGGTTGCTCGTAGCTCAACTTTTCTTTTATGGTAAATCTAAGATTTGAGCTATCTGGAAAGAACTCCTTTTTTAAAAAAATGGGAAGAGGTATTTTAAAAAATTATTTTACTTAATTCATTCAGTTAATGAAATTAGATATATTTTGCCTAAATGAATTCTATTAAGTAGTTTCATTGGTTAGTGAATTCTCTGTGTGTGTGTGTGTGTGTGTGTGTGTGTGTGTGTGGTGATAGTGGTTTTCCAGGTAAGTAAAATAGCCAAATATGGAGTAGTCAGACTCTTAAACCCAATTTTATGTCTTGGTACCTAGAATGATTGCTCTAAATTGTCATCCAGCATCTAGTATACGTTTATAATCATTTGTTTAATAAAATCTGTGTTGTTCAGCATATTTTCTTTTCTGTTGTGTTCTTTTTTTTTTCTTTCTTGCTTAGGGATATAGTTCTCAAACTACTTCAATATGAGGCATCAACAAATGTAGCAGACAACAAAGGTTATTTTCCTATTCACCTGGCTGCCTGGAAAGGAGATGTGGAAATTGTGAAGATTCTTATTCATCATGGACCATCACATTCCAGAGTCAATGAACAGGTGCACTTGTCAAATGTGTGCTCATGCTATAATTTTTCTAGAGTTTTGTGAGGGCAAAGCCACATTGAAAAATGGATTATTTCTGTTTTTACCCTGGCAAAGACCTTTTCACTGCTGAATTTCCTAAAGGAGAAATTTGAAAGATTCTTTGGCATTTGTATATGGTGCATAGGCACTAAGTTGGGCATTTGTAAAGATATTTGTTATCAAGAGAATCCCACATAAAGGAAGTACTTGCAATATTTTTGCCTGCCTTATATAATCATCCCTTTTATAGTTGTTGAATATTTAAACATATAACAGAATTCACATTTGTAATGCGAATTAGAGTTTTTTTTAAATAAAATTTTAAATGCTAAAACAATGATGATAGCTATCATTTACATGATGCTTTACCATTTACATAGCACTTTCACAGTAAGTACAATTTGTGATCAAAATACAAAATACAGTGTATACAATTGCTAGGCATATATTAAAATAAAAATTTCCTGTATGTATATATATGTACATATGCCCAGAGTAAGTTGAGTAAAACACAGCAGCAGTATAATGCTGACAGATAAAGTCAAAATATTTGCAAGTACATAATATGCATATTACACATAATGGACATATTAAAGAAGGAATGCCATTCTTAGTATTCCAAGTAAGTAAGACCAGACATTCCAGAAAGTAAAATATTGTCCCCTAATATAGTATGATAACAAACATCTTGAGCTCTGCATGCCCCCTACTGTTCTCAATTTGTAAAACTATATTTGAAAACCAGCATGCAATCTAACAACTGAATTACAGCCATGGCATTAAGCTGCAGGTTGGCAGTTGTCCAATATCAATGCAAGTAGGTTACTCTAGGGCAAGCACATCTAATAAAGTACAGTTAGCGTATTGTTCAAATGGTTACAGACTTTGCAGGCCTTTGACTGAAATTCAGACTAAAGAATAAAAAGTAACACTAGCACTAGCTGTAAACAGTGAAAGGAAGAAAAAGTACATACATTTTTTTCCAACAAAAGGCAGTTGTAGAAAGAAGTGATCGTGACAAATGTTTTATTAATTGGAAAAGTATCTTATTAATATTTATCCCAATAAAAATTTTTATGTTTACAGGTTACAAAATACAGAATATTTTTAATGAGAATACACTCATAAATTCAGTCTTTAAAAAAAGACAGATTTGGCTATCTTTATCACCATATCATGCTAAAAGGAAACTATGAGAATGCTGTTCTGTTCCTCAGAAATCCAAAAGTTAGAGATGATTTGTGGGATGAGCCATCTGGTGGTTATGCTTAAAACTGCCTGAATGCCCCAAAGAGAACCTGAAATAGTACGATGGAAAAAGAATCCAAGGTTAAACAAGAGGATGTTAGTTTTACAAACAAAGTATTTTGTAAATGCCATGAAAATAAGAAAAAACACCTAGTATTCATTTATATTTTAAGTGGAAGATTTTAATGGCATATAACTGTAATGGTATGTTTTTAAAACAAACATTTGTTTTCTGTGCTATTGAACAGATCAATTAAAATATAAAAAATGTCTTTTTAAGGAGATTGGAATGCAAAATTCTTTTTTCATTTCTGTTGCATTGTGTTATGGTTTCTATTAGCAACAAATTGAAAATTTCTTGAGATTTTTGATACTACACTTTCAGTATTTGTTTGCTTCTTTGTTTTTATGTATATACTCCTTTAGTGCTGAGGTAGTTCTCTTATTCAATGTCATTTCTCTTAAAAGTTTCTGATGTGGGAATTTTATTTTTGTGAGTAACTTTCGGTTTTAGTTTTAATTCTTTTTCCCTCCCTGAATGGGACAGAAATGTATTAGTTAATTATAAACCTTTATGTATTTACACAGTAGAGGAAAGGAATGAAAATTGTAACTGACATTTATTGAGACATGAGATAGCCAGGTACTGTGCTAAGCTCTTTCACCTGCAATATGTTATTTAATCAATTCTCACAATCTTCTGAAGTGATTATTATCACTCCCATTTTATAAATGAGAAATCAGGTTCAGCAATGTTAAATAACGTGTCTAAGGCCACACATTACTAGGTGACTAAAACAGAGACCTGAACTCAGGTCTCTCTAATCCAGAGCCCTGCACAATAGATCATTGGTATTGTCTTCATAACTTCTATCACTTATGGAGTGTTTGGAGTGTTTACTGTATGCCTCACGTTGTGCAAAGTACTTCATCTCTATTATCTTACTAAGCAGCCTGATGAGGTAGGTATTAATTATTGTTCCTGCTTTATATTTGTGGAAGCTGAGAGATTAGGTAACTTGCCCATGATATCACAACTACTAAGAAATGCAGCCTGGATTTGAACCCCGGTTTTTCTGATCCAAAGCCTAAGCTCTTAACTGATATAGTTAACATCATAGCCACTATGTGGAATGTTAAAATTATGCGTAATTGTCAGGGCTTCATTCTGATTTCTGAAAGTTACCTTTGGTTTCTAATACAACTTTCTTTAAAAATAATTCTATCTTAACATTTTAACATTTAAAGTTTACAAAGCATTTTCCTATATCTTCTCTCTTTTGATTTGTAAACTACACTTTAAGGTTTATAGGGAAGGCAATATTCTAATTTTACAGATAAGATAGGTTCAGAGAGATCCAGTGGTTTACTGTCGCTAATAAGTGCACGTTAGCACTTCAACCTACGTCCTGTTCACCATTCTGTACTGTCCTAGAATCAATGGTCAATTTAGGGTGATGTAATTTTGAAAACAGAGTAGACCCCCTGCCCTATTATGGTTTTTATAGTTGCTACATTCTTCCTATCTTTTGTCAACTGATTTATTATTTTCTTTCTTCTGATGTGATGTATATTTTCAATTTACAGTTTTCTGTGTATTCATCTTTTCTTCTCCTCTTTCTCTTTTTTTCCTTTATTTTGATATTAGGGCAAAAACCAGAGGAGCCTTATATCATAAGTATATTCCCTTGCCATTCTCTAAAACTCAAACCCAACTAGTGTTAGATAGTTTCCATTAGTCTTATTTTGAAGCAAGATCTTTTGTAAATAGCTTTTGTCAAACAGTGTCGTTCTGCCACTCATTGTCTGGAAGTGTCCTGATTTTTCAGAGAACACTTATTTTGTAAAAAAGAAGAAATTTGAAACTTGAGGAACGTTCGATGTAGACATACTAGCAATTATGAATCAGTGCTTCATCGCAGTCTATTTCAAATTAGATTTTTTTAGATCACTAGTGAGTATGGACACGTATACAATCATGCCTTTGATAAAGGTACCACAGTTGTGGTTTTCACTGATGTAACAATCCAAGTATGTGATGATCACAGATAAACTCTATGAACATTTTTTCCTGAGTAAGTCTCAAATGATTGAAATAATTTTTCTTGAGATCTAAACAGTGCTAATTGGAGTTGATAGATAGCTTCAATTTTGCACTTATAATTTCCTAGGCTAAGGGCTCTGAAAAAAATAGAGAGGTCTTTGAGGAATCATTATTTCATAATTGGCTTTTCTTTTTCTCAAAAGGTGCTATATTTTGAAAAGTGAGATTGAATCTATTTCCAACCAAATGGAAATTTGATTTAGTCAGGAGGCGTATTTCTATATCATATTTTCATGGTATAGAGTAATAAGATTGATTTTCTTATCAGGCTTTTAAAACTTAGCCAGATAAGAGAATAAGGGAGTGTGAACCTGTATGTAGTCAGTCACTATGAGAAAGTAGATAGTAACACATTCCAACCAAGGACAGTAATGATGGAAGAAACAATACCTCCAGCTGGATTTCCCATCTATCAGATCTTAATTTTTCATTGACTGTCTCCAAGGAGTAGGTTTTCCCTCTGGGTGTGGCCTTCAATAGCCTCTTCTGATACTAATTTGAAAGATAAAGTCTTAAGCAGCCTTTTCCTAATGCTCATTAAAAAAATTTTTTTTTAAATTATTTTCTTGCCACTCCTTTTTTCAAGTTTTCAAATCCTCCCTCTCTCCTGAACTCTCTCCTCTCAACTGACTTATTTGCATTCTTCGGCCAGAGCAAGGCAGAGTTACTTTATGAAACATTAAGATCTCTTTGGGTTTGAACCCTCCGTTTCCTTTTGTTCTGGTCAGAACAGCTATCTAAGCAGCTACTTCCTATTCCCACTTGGTTGGTGTTCGTTTGGGCAAGATCTATAGAAATTCTGCTTTCAGATCACTAATTTCCTTTTCTTCTTCTTTGACAATATAGCAACACATGGCAGGCCGTGTGGTATTGAGGAAAGAGCATGAAGGGTTTTGGATTCTGACAGATACTGATTCCAAAAGATCCTGATTCTGCCTGGGCATGTAATTTAACTTTTTTGTATTTTAGTTTCTTCATCCATGATTGGGGATGATAATACCAATCTTGTAGGATCATTTGTAAGAGTTAAATGAGACAATGTATGTAAAATTTTTAGACACTCAGCAGATGGTGGTAGTTATAGTTGTTATTGTGGAAGATGGTATTAGGAGCACCAACGTTGGGTCTGGGTTTCCTAGGTTCAAATTGTGGCCCCAAAACTAAATGGCTGTATAATTGAAGGCCAGTTATACAACTACTCAGTGCTTCAGTTTCCTCATCTGTAAAATGGGAATAAGGATAATAATAGTATCTATCTCAGAGTGAGCATTCAGTGAGTAAACATATATGAAATGCCACTGTGCCCGGTACAGTGTTAGCTGTGGTGATGATGGCAGCCTCCCTTCTCTCTAGAACCCACATTTAGGATCATTGGATTTTTGTTACTAAAATTTCTTGTTCACATTTCTCCTGATTGACCCTTCCACATTCTGCCTGCACCATCTGCCCACATGGTCTTAAATGTCTATCTGCCTTGGAACTCGGTTCGATTTTCTCCATTTTAACGTTTTTTTATCCTGCTAAATTTCTGGGACAAGCTCATTGATTTTCAACTGAAACACTTATAAGCCGCACATGTAACACTTTGATACTCCTTGTAAATTGTCTGGGAAAGATCTGCCTCTCAGTCTACAATTGTATTTCAAAAAGATACTATTTAATCTTAAGGCCAGTATGTCTTCATTCTCTTTGCAAAAGAAGCAATGATTTGTACTTTTGTAGATGATAAAATGAGGCTTAATGTGGGAAAACTTTCTGTAAATCTTTCATTATCAAGAATTTACCATCTTAGCTGTTTTTTGGAAAGCCAGTCTGTTAACAGTGTGTTATAATTGTTATTAATCTCTTTCATTAACAAATATCATGGAGGCATGATGCACAGTGCAGATAACACTGACCATCTGGGCCCAGGAGGGCCACCGACTGACATGGCTAAATCATTTATCATTCTTGGAAATTGGAATATATAATGCAGGGAAAGGTTTGATTTTTCGTATTGAATGATAAAATGTGATATTTTTGATGCAATAAATGATAGATACTTTATCAAATATAAAATTCTATTAGGCGTACTTATTAAAATAGATAAATCTTAAACTTACATTTTCAAAGCATCTCAGGTTTTAAATTGTTTAGATTTTGATAACTAATTGAATTTCTGAAAACTTACATTTTATATCTTTGTTTTAACAGAACAATGAAAATGAAACTGCTCTACACTGTGCAGCTCAGTATGGACACTCGGAAGTAGTTGCTGTTCTTCTAGAAGAGCTCACTGATCCTACCATTAGGAACAGCAAGCTAGAAACACCTTTGGACTTGGCGGCACTCTATGGACGTCTTAGAGTGGTCAAAATGATCATCAGTGCACACCCTAACTTGATGAGCTGCAACACTCGAAAGCACACACCGCTGCACCTCGCTGCACGTAATGGTCACAAAGCAGTTGTTCAGGTGCTGTTGGAAGCGGGAATGGATGTGAGCTGTCAAGTGAGTCTTCTTTTAGCTATGCTTTAAAAGTGATGATGCTCTTGCTTTTAACATACAGATGTTAAAAGTTACATGTAGAAATCTTACCATTTTTTTAATCAATCAAATTGTCCACAAGTATTTTTGTAACTACTAAATTCATGACACTGTGCCACACACTCTTGGGCCATATGAAGACACATAAGTCATAATCTCTAACCTCATTCTAATCTGAGGGCTATACACCTGAAAAATTATTACTGCTTGGCAGTTGTATGTGGTATCATTAGTAATTGTTTCCTTTCTCCCAGTATCTAGCACGTAGCCTGACATAACCTACGAATCCAGTCAAAGCTGAATGAATGAATGAATGAAACAAAGTTCACTTTAACATTTTTGAGTATGTGCTTTGTGTTTAATTTGTTGACACATTTAGAATCCAGTTCTCACAGCTGTCCTATAGGATTGAGAGTTTATTAAATTCCAGTTAAGAGATGAGGAATCAGATTCGAAGACTGAAGAAACTCGTCTAAGAATACATAGCTGATAAACCCAGAATGTGAATTTAGACCTACTGATTAAAGTCCAGCCTCTTTCCACAGTAATGTACTGTCTATACATGACTAACGAAGGAAAGATCACTATCCCAAAGGGCAATCAGAAAAAATTTTACTGGAGAGGTGTGATTTGAGTTGAGCTTTGAAGGACAGATAGCTTTCAGATAGATTTCCTTTCTCCACAAGGAAAGGGCAACCTGCTTTTATTATCTGTCTCAAGTTAGCCCCAACTCCAAGGTTAGCTTTTTAAAAAATTTTTAACGTTTTCTCCTTTTATCACTGTTTTTTTGTCTTCCAAGTTGGTGGCAGCATTCTTATCTTCCAGAGACTCTTTTGGTTCCCGTCATACTGTGACCTTCTCTGTATATTAGTAAGCATAACAAACTATTCTGAAGCTTAATGACTTAACACCGTAACTATTTATTTAGCCCATAATTCTGGGGTTGGCGATTTAGTCTGAGCTTAGCTGGGTAGTTCTTCTGTCTTTGGCTGAGTTCACTTGTAAGTCAGTAAAGTGGCTTGGCTTCAGGGATTGACTGGATGTTGCCTGGGGTAATGGGTGAGACTGCCCTGTGTCTTTCATGACCCAGCAGGCCACATTTAGCTTGTTCACATGGCAGTGGTATGGTTCTGAGAGAGAGAGAGAGAACAGGATTATACAAGGCCTCTAGAAGCCTAGGCTTAGAACAAGCATACTGTCTCTTCTGCCATATTTGATTGGTCAACCCGTCTCAAAGGCAGCTCAAATTCAAGGGGTGGGAAAACAGACTCTACCTCTCAATTAGAAGAGGGTGTGAATTATAAAAAGGGTATGAATACCAGAGGGAATAAATGCAGCCAGTTTTTCAAAGAGTCCACACATTCCAGGTAGAATTAGTGTTCAACTGTGGGGTTTCTTTTCCTAAGGAACTGTTGAGAGGTTGAATCCAGTGTCTCTAGGGGGTTTTTTACTGAAGTTTTAAAACTTAGGCCTTCCAATCCTAGGTTTGAGGCTCACACCCTGAATCAGAATTTTCATTAGAGCTTTGCCTCTATTATTTAGTTGTTTAGACATTTGTAATATTTTTCCTTAATTTCTTACTTTTCCTACTGTGGCAGTCTTGAAAATAAGCACAAGAGTTTTTTCTAGTCCTCATATTAAAAAAAAACAACTTTCCTCTCAAAGGGCTATTGAAATGATATGGATACATGTTTACTATTGGAGATGACTCACAAAGTTACTTTCTTAAAGTATGTTTAATGATAAACTAGTTGCTTATTGTAGAAATGTTTTATTTCTCTAATCTTGATTTACTGCTTTCATAACACTTCTGGAATATTTCTAAACTTGATTGCACAGACTGCTTTATAACCAAGGATTTTTCACTATGACTGTTTGAGATCAATAACTCACTTCATGTCTGTGGCCAAGATCTTTTTACGTTTTGTACTACATGACATGACCAGAAGAAAAAGTGTTTGGATTAAATTTTATATATGCATATGGTACTTCTTTTTTCTACAAAGCACTGTATTTTATGCTTTTGGAGAATTAAAGACAAAAAGATCTCTGCCCAAAATTTAGTGGAGGAGATAAAAACTTGCATGAATAACTCCTATACACAGCATGTTAAAATAAATACTAGGACAAAGGGCTATGGAGATACAGGTGAGGAAAAAAATATGTTTTAGGAGGGAAGACTTGAGGAGACATTGATAGAGTTACATTTGAAGAGAACCTTGAAAGTCTAATAGGACTTTGAATTTTAGATACAATTTAGCTTGCAGATGTGCATTATTTGGTTAAAAGAGTGCTTTAAAATATTGAATTTGAATGCTTTTGGATGGGGTATATGTACCTTCCAAGGTCCCAACCTCTCTCTACCATCTTATATCATTGCCAGATTCATTCCTTTTGCTTTTCTACTTGGCCCGTGACAGCATTTGTGTTTGTTGCTCGTATATCAAATGAAACGGAGGCAATATGCTCAGACTACTGTGAACACTTAATCAGAAGCATCAGGGCTGGTGCCTGAGCAGCATGGGCAGTGTCTTGTGTTGCTATACCTCTTTCATTGATGCTCACTCCATGATTTCATCTTGAAAGTTTCCAGGAAGTAGAGCTGACAAAATATTTCTAAAATATATCTTAATGAGTGGAATCTTCCACTGGATACAGTTAGCCTTAGTTGATGTTTTGCTTTTGTTATTATTGCTTTGTTCATAGAAAAAAGTTTTTTTAGTCTCATTACCTTTTTTGGTGAATATTTAATTTTATTATGTTATTGAAATTAACTGTCACCAAGTTTTCCCATCAGATTCACTGAAAAATTTTTTAATATCAAATTTGAAGTAGATATTTGTTGATTTACTGGCTGAGAGTGAATAATACTAGACAGTAACCTAAAACTGTTTGAGTGGCTTTAATATTCATTAAATTGCTCTAGTTAACCAGTTGGGAATTAGCAGTATTAAAAGTAATCCCATTTGGTAAATGACAGTAATACACTTTTAGATTTTAATTACGTTCAAGTTATTATGAATAATGCTTTAAAATTTAGAGATGGCTTTGGAGGATCTTGTCTTTTCCTTGTAATTGCAAATATTTTTAAACGTAGCATTTATGTTACTGTTTTCTGTAGAAATTTTGTTTTCTGCTTCATTTCTCTCTGAGCAATTTTGAATTATAACATATCTGAACTAGTGAGCAAAATAATTTAATTCCTGTTTGGGTGCATCTTGTATTATATTTACTTATAAACCCGTTAGTGCTAAAAGATTTCTTAATAAAGAGAATCAGTGATATTAAGATATTAAGAAAGTAGGGTTTAATTGGCCAGATTCTCTTGAAATTAACAGTTATTTCTTTGGATTTCACTTGGTTCTGGGTAACTAGGTAGTGATGGTGTCATATTATGCTGGTGATTTAACTGTGTGTGTTTCTTATAGGTTTCTGTTATTAATACTTCAACAGTTAAGGTACTAGCATAACATTAAGCCAGTTGGATTTTATTTGATTGTTAAAGGAAATGAAAGTGAAATTACAGAAAATTAATAATAAAGAGTACAAGTTACCAGCTTGAAGCTGTTAAAGATGCAAAACTGAGTTAAGGTACAGTTTTTGCTCTCAGAGTGCTTATAGTGGCAGGAGAAATATGTGCCTAAATGGACAGATTACATTTTGATAATCCATTTACTCTCCTACTTCCCTAGATGATTATTTTAAAATTTCTCCTCTTTCCAAAACTTCAGCGTTTCCCTCCCTGTTATCTTTCTGTGATCATGGCTTTGCTTTTACTTCACAAGAAAACAGAAGCAATCACATATTTCTACCACCACATTTGCCAATGCACATGTATCTGCTTTCCTTCCTGGTGCTTTAAATGAACTTTTTAGGTTTATTTCTAACGCAGGCTCTTCTACTCGTGCACTGGATCCTACTCCCTCTTGTCTACTTGGGATATAATGCTCTGGAAAAATACCTCTCCCTTTAATGCCACGTTTCCCCCTCTCAACTGTATCATTCCCATAAGAACACAAAGATGTTGTAATATTTCCCATCTTAACAAAAAAACGCCATTTTCTTGAACCCACATTTTCCTCTACTTGTTACCCCCTTTCTCTGACCTTTTTCATGCAGCGTATTTAGAAAGAGTTGTTTTGTATCAACTTTTTCCCCTCCATTCTCTCTTGAAGCCCCTCTGGCTCCCTCAGCTCTATTAAAAGTCTTTTTTTTTCCCCCTTTTGGTGAAGGTGACTAATGACAGCCATATTGTTAGATCCAACAGCCAATTCTTAGTCCTAATCTTACTTGATTTATTATTAGCAAAGTTGATATCTCCCTCCTCTTTGAAATGCTTTTTTTCTTTTGACATCTGAGACACCACAGTCTCTTGATTCTCATTTCCTTCACTGGCTGTTCCTTCTCAGTCTTACTTCAGGTGGAGCCTAAGACCTTGAATGCCTGCCATTCAGCCTGGCAGCTAGATAAATTTGCCAGGCCTCACAAAGCTGTTATCCCTAGGGGTTGCTCACAAGTTAAGCCTTTCTGTTTTCTGTCCTCCTTTGTAAAGTCATACCCCTCTCTCCTGAGCCAGGCTTTATTTTCATTCCTCTGTAACCCACTGTAATAGCTATTGCCACAATACTGCTACATAACAAACACAGAAACCTCAGTGACGTACAATAGTAAGCAATAGCATTTTTTTTCTCATTCACATGTTTGCAGGTCAGCTGGGGAAGTTCTGTTTCATACTTTAAGTTAGCCTGGGCAACTCTGCTCCATGTGTCTGTTGTCTTCCTCCTAGGACTAGCCAGTGCATGGCCTAAGCATAAGAGAGCAAGTCCAACCAAGCAAGCACAATTTGGGCCTCGTTTGCATCATGTCACTTACCATCCTTTGCCTAAAAGAAGTCTCAAAGCCAAGCCCCAAAAGGGTAGGGAGATATTCTCCACTCCTATAGGTGGAAAGAACTGTAGTCATATGACAGAGGGGCCAATAGTGTAATCTATCATGTCCCTATTCCATGGTTACCTGCTCTCATCTTCCTGATCTCTAAACATCAGAGTGTCCTAGGGCTTAGTACTCAGATCTCTTTTCTTCTCTATCTGTGTTTACTTCCTAGTTGACCTTATCGGGTCTCTTGGCTTCAAATGACGTCTTTACTGACAAATACAAGTTTATTTATTCATCCTGGACCTCACTCTGAACTCTAAATTAGGTGTGTAATTGCGTACTAACATTTCTATTTGATGACTAATGGGTGTTCAAACTCAACATTTCTAAAACTGAACATTTAGCTTCTATAACCCCTTGTCCCCAAATTTGCCCATCTTCCAATCTTTCCCACTTCAGCAAAAGGCATCACTATGCTTCTAGTTGTGTGGCCCCAAAACTTCAGGATTTCTTTCACATTTTACACTTAGTTCCTTAGCAAATCCTATTGGCTTTGTGCTCAAACTATATCCATTTTCATATTTTCATTCCCTTCGCTATTACCACCATAGCCCAAGTCCTGATCATCTCCTGCCTCCTAACTGGTTCCCCTGTTTCTTCCTTTGCCTCTGTATTAGTCTGCTCGGGATGCCATAACAAAATATCATAGACTAGGTGGCTTAAACGACAGACATTTATTTTCTCACAGTTCTAGAGGCTAGAAAGTCTGAGATCAAGGTCCTGGCTGATTCTGTTCTTTGTGAGAACTCTCTTCCTGGCTTGTACATTGCCGCCTCCTCGCTGTGTCCTCACATGGCCTTTCTTCTGTGAACAAACAGAATGAGAGAGAGAGTGAGCTCTCTGGTGTCTCTTCCTCCTTTTATAAGGGCACTAATCCCGTCTGTTTTTAAAATAGGTTTTCTAATTGTTTTTTTAGTAGTAATGATAACACTTGTCATTACTTTTTAAGTTAATAATAAGACTTTTTAAATCTTTAAATCTTTAAAGATTTATTTATTTAACATTCCTAATAACCCTATTCCATTTTTAATATTTTTTTAATTTACAGAATATTACAGAATTAATATTACAGAATATTACAGAATAGGGATTCTACTGCTTTTCATCCTTGTATTTTTAAATATTGTTTAGTATTTAAGAATTTTAAATTGTGTTATTCTAGGAAGGGTTTTTCTAATTTTAAGTCCAAAATTTTGTGAAAACTTGAAGGAAATCAAATTAGTAATCAGACAATTGGTTGAAAAACACAGAAAGAATGAGAAGAATTAGGTTATTTCAAAGGATATTTTCCAGGGAATGGCAAAAATAAATTACTTATGCCCCACATTGAAATGTTTTTCTGTTAAGGAGCTAAATAAGTTTTCTGTTTCTTTCTCCTTCTGAACAGTGCTGTATATTTATAAATTATAATTTTTATTTCTATTTTTATTAATGTCTATACACATCATGCCAGTAAAATTATAATTCATGTGCATTTAAGTCATGCCTTTTGGAATGTAAATTCAGATCACATTGATCCTCAGCCTTCCTAGTAATGCATTCATATACCACTTTGGATTGGGTTAATTATAGAATTGGATTTTATTAATCAAAGAAGTTATTACATTATATATTATTTATAATGATATTTCTATTTTGGATTGAGATTAAAAATTCTACATTAGAGATCACTTTTAGTATAAGGGGACAAAATTTCAATAATGACACTATTCAATTCAACACACACACACACACACTCTCTGCAGGCCTGTTAGACATTTGTTAAATTCTTGGAGAAAAAGAAAAAGTTGAACACTCAACATTGGTATAGCTCAGGATGTTTCCTCTTTGAAATCTTCCTTGATCCTCCTCAAGGCAGAAACTAATCTTTCCCTGCATTCTCACAAATTCTGTTACATGCTGTGTTCCTCCCTTCCTCTGCCTTTTGTCCTCAAAAGAATTCTTTTTTTTTTTTTTTTTTTTTTAAAGATTTTATTTTTTCCTTTTTCTCCCCAAAGCCCCCCGGTACATAGTTGTGTATTCTTCGGGTTGTGGCATGTGGGACGCTGCCTCAGTGTGGTCTGACGAGCAGTGCCATGTCCGCGCCCAGGATTCGAACCGACGAAACACTGGGCTGCCTGTAGCGGAGCACGCGAACTTAACCACTCAGCCACGGGGCCAGCCCCCTCAAAAGAATTCTTAAATGTCTACATTTTCAAGGTACTTTGCTAGGCATCATGGATATAGTGATGAAAAAATGTGTGTGGTCTACATTTCCACTAAGTATATAGTTTACTAGGAGAAATAGATAATCACATAACATTGTAATGTGCATCATAAGTGCTATGATGAGGAAATTATAAATTTATGTGAAGCACACAGGAAAAGCACTAGACTTCAGGAACCAGTGACGTCTTCTTAAATGAAGTTATATTTGAGATTTGACACAGTATGAGTCAGTAGTTCTCAAAGTGTACTCCCTAGACTCTCAGAATCATCGGAGAACTTGTTAGGAATGGAAATTCTCAGGACTCATCCCAGGCTACTGAACCAGAAACTCTGGGGGTATGGCAAAGAAATCTGGTTTTTGACAAGCTCTCTGGGCGCTTCCAATTTATGCTGAAGATTGAGAACTAGTGGTATAGTGACGACGACATAAGGAGGGCTAGGAATTAGATTCTGCCAAGCAGAGAGACCAGGCTTTGAGATCCTTGGGGAAGAAAACAGAGAATTACACCATGCAAAAATATTCTATATGCCTAGAGCTTAGGGTATGAGGTTTGGGGGAGAGTTGGAGTGGGCAAGAGAGGATTTTGAGAGGAAAGTAGGGAGAGGATCATCCAGGTTTTGTAATCTACATTAGCTTGTTTAGATTTCATTTATCATAAATATTTATTTATACATCTGTCTCCTCAAATAGAATGTGAATATTACAAGAGTCAGGATCATATTTCCATATCTCAAAACACCCCTCAACTATTCTCAGCATATAATATGTTGATGTTTAATAAATGCAAGCAATGCGTGAATTGAGTGAACTCATTGGATACTCACAAAAGCTCCTTGAGGTGGACATCACTACTCTTATTTTATGCTTGAGAACAACCAAGGCTAGGAGAAGGTGAGAGGCTTCCCAACATAACACGGTCAAATGGCTATTCAGAAGCAGAGGTGTTTCACAGACCCAAGCTTTTGAATGTTATTTATAGAATCTCTTCCTTATTCCGCACTAACCTTTGTGTCAGGGATTGCTCAAATTATAGAGAATATATATGAATACATAAAATTACAGAATTTTTTTAACCTGTTAGCATTCCTAACGCAACTGTGCTTCTTTCTCTCTTTTCTTTTCTTTTTTTTCCAGACAGAAAAGGGGAGTGCACTTCATGAAGCAGCTTTGTTTGGAAAGGTGGATGTTGTGAGAGTTCTGTTAGAAACAGGTAACTATCATGATTCTCCATGGAGCTTATTCTGCGAAATACAGTTTCTATTTGAAGAGTAGACAAAGGAAAATGACAGTTTTTTTTCCACAATCACCCTTATTTCTTGCCTTCATTCCATTTTGCAGATTTCTATTTATAGCATGTAGAATTGCGCCTCACTGTTTAGATTAAATTGATATAAATGTGTGCCTTCCTTTACTCAGTAGATATGATAGTAAAAAGCTCTTGGAAATGGAAACTTTATGCATTTAAATCACATCAAAATATATTAGAGGAGCGACCAAAAGGAAAAAAAAAATCTCTGCCTTCTACAAGAGGGAGGAATTGATCCCTGTGAAGTTATGACAGTTGCTTGGCTTATTAAAGAACATAATACTTTCCCTAGGTTTTTATATTGTGAACTGTAGTAAACAGAAATTAGAGTACTCTATCCTTAAAGTAAGTTCTCCTTCTAGTTACTGTATCAGCTAAGTAGCTATTGTTTGTAAGCTGCAGTGATTTAAAGGGAACCTTTTAGAGGGAATGCTTTGAAGGAAAAACAAAGTAGGCTTCTTTGTGCTCATATTTATATTCTGATTGAAATGAAATAAAATTGGAACTGAGGTGAGATTTTTTTTTAAGATCAAAAGGCATGGGTTCAAATTCATGCTTGTAGAAATTGATGTGAGTCTTTTGAGTTATGGACTATATTTAGTGTGTTTATTTTCCTCAGTAAAAAAATAAAATGGAAAACATTAGCAAGACTATTGCATTATACAATTACAGACTATTACATATTCAAATTATACAAAGACTGTGCTTATACAAAGTAAAAATTTCGTGTATATTAATTTTGATATGTAACACGGTGATATAATAAATGATTTGAGGTAACCAATTAAATATGTGCTGGTCACATATCCCTACACAAATTTAAGCAAGTAGTTAATAATCTTATTATGATAAACTAATATTTGAGGCCAGATTCTGAAAACTGACTTTGTTTGCAGTTAGATGTTTGGAATGTTTATAAACTTTTTTGGGGCATTGAAAACTATTTGCTACATGAAAATAAGTTCTTGAGTACAATAAATATTTTCAGAATTAAAATAATTTTAAAGATGTTTCAGTTACACGCTTCAGGAAGTTTTCTCACCAGGTAGATGATGAGTGTTGCTGACATTGAATATAATCTTGTGTAAGTAAATATGGAATATTTGACTGTATTTGGAGAAGTAGTATTTGGAAAATAGTTCAAAATAATCATACTTTTTCAATTTTTATGAATACTCAAGTATTCTAAGACTGTTCTTATATTACTTACATGGTACATTATTATAATTTAAAAATATTTTTACCACGTTACAGAGAATATATAAATCATATGACCATTGTCCTTTAGGATTTCACATTCTGAATCAGTAGTATTTTTCAGCTTTATGGTGTAATATTTACTTAACTAGCTATAATCATTTAGTTAACTAGCTATAACCTAAACTAGCTATAATCCAAAAAAGCAATCTTAATGATTGGGCCAGCGCCTTAAAGAGTTAATTCATTATCAGGAATATTCCTAATCTTTGGTAGCACACGACCCCATCTTCTTTCTTACTAAAATTGTGTGTGTGTGTGTGTGTTTGTGTGTGTAGAGCTTAATTAAAAAAAAATCACTTTCAGTGCTTGGTTTGTATATGTTTGAAATTAGAGCAGTTATATATTGACAGTATCTTCTGATGACACTCCAGTGGTATACATCTAGTGGGTATTTCTTTTTCTTTCAGGAATTGATGCCAACATAAAGGATAGCTTAGGTAGAACTGTCTTAGACATTCTGAAAGAACATCCATCTCAGAAATCTCTCCAGATTGCAGCACTCTTACAAGGTAAACAATACTGAATGATGGATGAGCTTGCCTTAAAGTTAATATTAAATTAAAACTGCATAGTTTTCTCTTGGATTTTGAGTTAATATTTACTTTTGAATTAACTTATTATTTGTATTTTTCTGGTAGACTTTTAAATTAAATAATAGTTCTTTTTAATGTTTTATTTCTGTTTTTCAACTACTCACTATTTTTTTTTTTAATGATTTTTTTTATTTTTTCCTTTTTCTCCCCAAAGCCCCCCGGTACATAGTTGTATATTCTTTGTTGTGGGTCCTTCTAGTTGTGGCATGTGGGACGCTGCCTCAGCGTGGTTTGATGAGCAGCGTCATGTTCGCGTCCAGGATTCGAACCAACGAAACACTGGGCCGCCTGCAGCAGAGCACGCAAACTTAACCGCTTGGCCACTGTGCCAGCCCCAACTACTCACTATTTTTTAAAAAGCTAAAGTATTTTTTCACTCACTTGATATTAAAAGGTCTTTTTAAAACCCATGTAGTAGATATGTAGTTATGAACTTAAAGGTAATAAGCCTGTAAAGTGATGATGATGAAGTATTATCTTACATTTGAATAATGCTTTAAGAGTTTTCAGGCATTTTCTATTACTTTGTCTGATTTCTATAACTTTGTAAGGTAGATAAGTCAGATATCATTATTCCCCTTTTTGCACATGAGGGAAACTGAAGCTCCAAGGGACTAAGTGACTTGCTCACACTCATATGTCCTAATCTAAGTGGTAGAGCTAGTACATAAATGCTGGATTAACAACAACAAAATTGTACTTAGCTGAAAGAATACAGATTATTTCCTCCCTAATCCAGTAGTGCAAGATAATTCAGTTTTGCCAGCCTTTGTTTTCGATAAAGGTCATTTAAGTACACTTGTAGTTAGTTGCAGATCTACGGAAGATTTGACAACCATCTAGGCACTACATTTTCATTTGCAGAATCACATACTTCCTCATTTGATGTAAAAATTCTATGAAAAATTTAGATTTAAATGCTTTCCCTTTCTGCTTGGTGATTAGGCCTGCCATGTAGCATGTTCCCTTAAAAACCCAGATGTTTGTCCTTTTCTTTCCAGTTAACTCTTACACTGTTTGGTGGTGATTATCCCCTATAATTGTTACAGGTTGGTTGCAAGTGTAACAGAGGAGGGAGGAGGGCATGGGTTTCATTGCATATCAGTTAGGAACCTGAAGAACAGCTTTGTCCTGCAGGGAGATAAATGAATTAAAACCAAGTTGGGCAGGAGACATGTAGATGCAGGAGTCAACAAAGGCCAAAGAGGAGGTCATTATACTCTTTTCTGTCTTTGTTTCCAAAACCTCTCAGGAAAGTTCAGGCCCCTACAATTTTCTTGTCAATAAAGAAGTTAATTGCAAGTCAAGTGTGTATAGAGATAAACATAGAAGAATACAAGTGTAGCTCTTCATATTAATTAAAATTCAAATCAAGTTGAATGAAAGCTAAAAAATAAAAAAGGTGGTCACAACATTTTTATAAGTCTTTCCCCCTCTGGGTACTTTATATTTCATGCTGGACTTTTGCCTCTAACTAAACTGTAAAAAAACAGGCTTGTGCACAAATGCGTCTTTTGGGGAGAATCAAAATAAATGTCATCCACCAAAAAGGGGAGATGACATAATTACAGTCAGTTTTTAACATACTGCATTGGTTCAACTTAGAGGAAAATCTTACTATGTAGAAGTAACTATCTATGTTCTCTTAAATGGTCAAGATTCATTAAATATGCCAATTTGTGACACAGTATATGGGACATCTTTGAATTTTTTTAATTGTTGGCAAATTTTAGAATGTGAGCCCCATCATCTATATTTTTTGCATTTCTGGATTTCAAGTCACTAGTACATTTTAAATCTTATGAAAAAGTTTGTTATTGCAATAAAGATGATTTATAGTAGATAAAATTACTATTTGTGTCCTGGAGGAGGAATTCAATTTACATAATTACTGCATGGGTCAAAAATTGTAAGTTGCTTTCTTTTCCTGGTAGAATTTGCCTAGTAGAATTGCCCTTAGGTAGAAACTATTTGGATGGTTTGATATCACAAGTGGTTGGCATGAGAGCACAACTTAACTGAATTTTAACAACTTAACTGAATTTTAGGAAAAAGTTTCCTTCTGAATAAAGAAATGCAAGTAAATGATCCCTATGAGGAGGAATCTACTGGTTTAATCCTTTATGGAGGCTAGAAACTAGCCACTTGGGCTGAGTGCTTTTGGCAGATAGCAGGTGTATTCCGTTTAGATCATGTACTTTTGGTCCACACTGTGTTTCCATAAGAATTGAACTAGCTTTCAACATTTAAAAATCTAGGATTTCAGCTAAAACTCCAGAGTCTCAAAAAAATGCAGACTTTTGTTTTGCTTCATTGCCGACCTTTAGATAGGGCGCTTGCTCTCTGGTTAACCATGCTCCACAGGCTTTCTGTTCTTTCTATACTATTGAGGCTGAATGTTAGTTGACATTTATCCGTGCATTCAGATTCTGTTTTCCTTGTGATTAAGAGAAAAGTGAGATGTTTCTCGTCCCATATCTATCTGACTCTGCTGCTTATTAGCTGTATGGACGTGGCTAAGTTAATAATCCTTCTCATTTAGTTGTCATCTTTACAACTAAGATAGTAGTAGTGCCTGTGTCATAGTTTTGTGAGGATTAAATGAGTTAATTGATATTAAATACTTAGAACACTGCTGGGTACATAAATTTTAGCTGCTAATACTATTATTATTATGTCTTCATCAAAATTGGAAAAATGAGAGATAGGCTGAGTATGGGACATTACTTCAAGAATAATGGGAAAGAACTTTATTTCTTTGTGGACATAAAGTTCAATACGCAATTATCCTTGTCTTATAAGATTATAATACCATTATAAAATAAACTAGTCTCTCTTCATTCATTTATGTTATCTGACTGGCTGTTGTATCCATTTGGATCTGACATCCCTGTTTAGGGATCAAGTCTATTCAAAGCATCTTTCAGAGAGTTTTAAATCTTCAGGAAGAATATATTTAAGCAAACTAAGGATGTTATTGCATCTTCATCAGGTGAATTTGTTTTTAAGGAAAGAGTGTGACAAGTTTAGTTTTCAGAAAAAGGGTTCATGAATCTCTTCCAAAGTATCTTTTTCACTTTAATTAAAAAGCTTTAAACTGATAGCTCATCATGAAGTTCTTTTGGTTCATTTGGTTTTTTGAAGTTCTTTTCAAAATTTAGGATATATCTAGGATATGAAGGTACGAATGAAAAAATGATCACCAGAAGAAGACATAAAGTTTAGTTAAGATTTTAAAAGAAATGAATTTAAGTATGTAATTTCAAAAACTTATACACGCAGAATATTTAGAAGGCATGGGAAGATCAACAGTCCTCGAAGAACATGTGCAGGAAGATACAACACCAGAAACACACATTTCATCTCCTGTTGAGTCTCCTTCTCAAAAGACCAAAAGTGAGTAGCTTGTTATAAAGCCCTTGAAATGATTCTAGACTTCTATGTACAAATTTGTACAAGAAGGCTAACATTTGTGAAAATTTCAAGTGTATTAAGTTATATCTTATACTCTTTATTTTATCTATTTATTCAGTCAACTTTTACTGAGCTCCTGCTATTTGTCGGGCACTTTTCTTCGCCTTTAGATACAGCAGTGAGCAAAGTAGATACCAATCCATGCTGTCATGAAATTTACATGGAGTGGTTATTTCATAGTAGATTTTTTTCTAAAATGTGTTTTTTTTTTAATGATTTTATTTTTTCCTTTTTCTCCCCAAAGCCCCCCGGTACATAGTTGTATATTCTTCATTGTGGGTCCTTCTAGTTGTGGCATGTGGGACGCTGCCTCAGCGTGGTTTGATGAGCAGTGCCATGTGCGCGCCCAGGATTCGAACCAATGAAACACTGGGCCGCGTACAGCGGGGTGCGCAAACTTAACCACTCGGCCACGGGGCCAGCCCCAGTCTAAAATGTGTTTTTAATACATAATAATACTATTGATACCTGGATTGTAACTCCTGGAGGTTTTTTAAAGAATAAATTGTAGGTATAAAATACCTTTCTGAGAATGATTAGAAGAATGAATATTTTCAAACAACCTACAAAATATTCATGTTTTCACAGATAATACGTATTATTTATCTGTTCCTTCTGTGTTTTCCCTTATCACATATCATAATTCTAATTTATTCTTACATAATTATTTGTTTCAATAAGTTCTACTATTTCTTTTTATTGAACCTAAGAAATAGGTTCTCAGCACTCTCTCAAATTTGTTAATGAATTGTTGAATGAATTCTGTCAGTGAAGTATAATGCCAATAAAAGATTATTGAAAATTAAATGCTGTTAATAAATGAAGCTTTAGGAAGTGTTAATTCCAGATGCTTTTATGCAACATGTATATGTAAACCTTTAATACTTATTTCCATTTTGAAAAGGAGTAGAAATAGGGAAAATTTTAAATTTCTCTTTGTCTTTTAATATTCTTGTATTAATTATAGTTTGGTGCCTTGTTTTCATCAGAATATTTTCTGATGACTTAATCTTGTTTGCCGTATTTTGACTTCTATCATGATAATCATATTTTTCTTATTTAATGTTAATTTTTAGCAGTAAGTAGCCTTTCTTGAAACTTCTGAAAAAATTTACTCTTCTTACAGGTGAAACAGTGACTGGAGAGTTATCAAAACTCTTGGATGAAATAAAGCTCTGTCAAGAAAAGGATTATTCTTTTGAAGATTTGTGCCATACAATATCAGACCACTACTTAGATAATTTGAGCAAGATTTCAGAGGAAGAACTTGGGAAAAATGGAAGCCAGAGTGTAGTAAGTAAGGGGGGAAAGCAGACAATCCATCTGTCTTTGCCAGTTCAGTGTGTACCTGAGAGGCATGGGATTTGTGCATTATCCTATCTTGGATTCAGCCAGTGTCAAACGTCAAGCTCCCTTTGTTCTTTCCATGATGTCCACTGGTCTTTTATTCTCAATGCATGTGTAGGGGAAGGAATGCTTTGATAAATCCCTTATAGTTTGTGATGATCTTGCTACCGTTAGACTCTCGGAACACATGAATTCATAGTTTCTTTGATTTTGTTCTTTTAGTTTTACTGGGCATAATGATATTGGTTTGCAAAGAAAGAAGAAAACCTTCTTTTGTCTTTCTTCCCCACTTTCTCTGTGAACTGAGTCTAACCCCATCTTTAAGAAGAATGATAGAGCTGAGCCATGTGTGAAGAGTTCCCCAGTCACTCTGTATGTCATAGTAGGAGACAGACATTTTGGAAAGTTCGACCTGCATATTTTTATAATCTTATGCAAATCCCAGGGGATTTGCATGCAACCTACAAGCTCAGAATCTAAGTCATGAGTTAGAGATTCTTGCTCATTTGGATTTTTATATTAATATAATAGCGAGAAAAACTATAGAGAATCAGTCAGTTTAAGATTTGTATATATATTTTGTGCTCTATAGAGGAAAGATTTATAGGGTGCACTGCTATTAAAGGAAATACATTATTGTGTTATGAAAACTTTACTCACTTTTAGAACTTAATTTGTTATAGAAACATTCTTCAAAAGCTAATAATAGAGTGGATTATGTTAAGTATATTTATGAAAACTAAAAAAAAATTGCTAAGTATAGTGACTGTTATGAGAATGTTTACTTCATTTAGTTGCGTAATGTGAGCTGACACCATTTCCCAGGATAGTGCTTGCTAGTCTAGTTCCATGACTAGTCTCACTTCCTAGGCCTGTTTTTGTTTTTCATTTTTGTTTGTTTTTTTTTGCGGTGTCTTGTGTAAAACATCACATTATTGGCTCCAATAAATGCTCTTTATGAATAATTATGATTAATTATATATATACTGAAGTAAATACTTTTAGCTTTTACCAAATGAAATTTTTATATTAATGTAATATTTACTGTAGTTACTTTAGTCAGGACAAAATTCCCTGTTTAAAAATCTAAAACAGATGTATGCTGTCTCCAAATTACAAATCAGTTACATTTCAACATTTCCTTGAAAGTTGGTTATAAATTAAAACATATTTATCCTGCATAAACAGTACATGGTATTTAGGTTTTTAGGTCCATCCCTAAATATTTCTCTAAACTGTCTGCTTCTGGCCCTCTACTTCTAAACCCACAGATTTTTCAAATGCCCTAACTTTCTAGACCAGTGATTTCTAAACTTATCTTGTTGCGTGTACCATTGGTAAACAGATTTTCAGCAAACACCCTTAATGCATTTATTTATAAATTATATATATCTATGACTATTATAAGAATGTATGATGTAAATTATGAGGCATATACTACAAAAGAAATTCAAGTAAGGAAGATAATAAGTGTAAATAGAAGCTTTAATTTTTTTTCTTTTACTCAATGGGTATCTTGTGCACCCTACGGTCTGCACACTCTGCTTGAAGACCATGATTCAAGTTTATAGCTTTCAGGTAATGATGGCAGGGCCTTTTGGCATTGTGAGGGTGACATAATGGGAAAATGATGACCAAACTTTTTTTTTTTTGGTAAGCCGAAGTGTGTTGCAATTGAGCAAGAGAGAAATTAAATGCTCATAAATTGAACATAAGTTTCTTAAAATTCAAGCTCATACTTTCACACAAGCAATCACTCTTTCTTCCTGTGACAAACTTTTGTATTGTGTTCCTTGAAAATATTGTCATATTAAATATTAAAGGTTACATGAGGCAGAAAAACAGGGTACATATGAGTAAGAGCAAGTATTCTATTAATCTGGAATAACAGAGTTTTTAAAGGGGGAAGATGGGAGATAAGATTAGACAGATGGAGGTCAGGTCATGGATGATTTTGAATGTCAGGCTGAGAATTTTGGTAATTTTTTCAGGAAATGAGAAAAATCTAAAGGGTTTCAGGCAGGTAAAAGACATTATTGGAAGTGGTCTTTCAGAAGATTAATCTGATAGAAACTTGTTATTGAATGTTTAAAAAGTAATCCAATTTCTTTGACCCTTCTCCACTGCCTGTGTTTTTTTTGGATTCATTCCCTGTTTTGTTGAATATTTGCTTCCATCCATTCATCAAAAATGTTTTTCCTGAGCTTTGTTGAATTACACTCTCAAATAATGTAAAAACTTAATCAAGTACTTACAGATTGCCTAATATAGATGTTCGTTACCAGGTTGTGTGCTATAGGATTTATAATAGCAATAATGAGACATGGTTCTTGACTTCAAGGAGATCAAAATTCCTATTCCAAGAAATCTTCAGTCACATTGTGCAGTCAAGACTAACATATAAACATATATGTATATTTAGGAGTTGACATTTGTTAGGTACTTGCTATTTGCTGTTCTAATGTTTTATATGATTTAAGCCACTTAATCCTCACAGTAATCCTAACAATGGAGTTATGGATTTGGGAAATGACTCAGCTGGCAAATCTAAGATTCAAACTCAGAAGCAATGTCTTTAATTCTCAGCTACATTTTTCATAATAAACTACCCTGTGGCCAAAGGAAGTTTTTAAAAAGGGAGAGATAAGTGAAGATTTATGGATATTCATTGAAGGTGTCATGGAGGTAGTGGGAGATTAAACTGGGCCTTGCAGGAAGGGGAGATGTACTTTGCGCTTGAGTTGGAATGACTGAATGAATGAATGGGAGAGGATTTTAGCCTACAGAAACAGTATATGCAAAAGCACAGAGGTGAGACATAGCATGTAATTTGAAGAGGATGGTTTGTCATGGAGTTGGTTTTGGAAAGTAGTGGGAAATAAAGTTGGATCAGTGATGATAATATCTAACACTTATGGAACACTTTATATTAACTGATTTAATCCTCACAATAACTCTATGAGATTGGTAATGTTATTCCTCCTGTTTTACAGATGAGAAAATGGAGGCACAGAGAACTTGTATGACTTTCCCAAGTTTATATGTCAAAAGTTTAAAGCTTGTCAAAAGTTTAATATTGATGCTGAGGAGAAAAAACTCTTGAGTAGGAAAGTTCCATCATGAAGGGGACATTTTTGCAAGATAAAGGTGGTAACTGTATGTCAGATGTTTTGGAGAGAGACTCAGATAATGATTCTCAGCAATGGCTATACATTAGACTTATATGGAGAGGCTTCAGAAAATACTGATACCTTCAATACCATGCCAGACCAACTAAATCGAATTATTTTGGGTAGCATTCACTCCTGAGATGATGAGTCTGAACTGAGGTCTTGATAACACCACAGAATTACAGAATTTTAGAGCTATAATTAAATCTCCTACATCTTCTAGTGTCCAGCCTAATTCTCTGACTCTCCCTGTAAAATTCCTAAAAATCTCTTGTATTAGGAGGGTTTTCAGTTTATCATCAAAAAAACCCCTCAAACTATAGTCCAGCCATAGTTTTAAATTACAATTATTTCTATACTATGTTGGAATGTTAAATGTGGAGAAGATTTTTGTTTGTTTATTATTCATATTACTGGCTGAAGAACAGGCATTCAGGTTCAGTTAAAATTTAATTTTAGTGATTTGAAACATCCAACTTGTTTGTTGTAATATAAAAAATAATTCTAAAAGTAAATTAGAAAAAATAAAAATGTAAGGAAATATGTTTTGTAGCATTCATATCATTAATAAATGTATTTTACGTATTAATGATATGGCTTGAATTTTAGGAGTATTTTAACTATTCTTGGTTTAGTTTAGCTTTTATTACCTATTTTCTTCCAATAGAGGGCACTCTAATTCAGTAATTTAAAATACGAAATCAGACATCTTATGTAAGAACTTTTATTTTTGAATTGGAGGTTTTGGTTTTACTAAAATATTAGCCTTAAGGTGGTAGTTTGAGCAAGTTTAATAATATAAGTGAATTAAAAATTAAATTCTTATTTTGATTGAATGTAAATGCCTGTTCAAATTAAAATTATGTTTTCTTTTGCATAAATTTAAATTCAACAGTCAGTTTGTTTTAAATGATTTTATAATGTGCATATGGAGTCATTTTCTAAGTTGATTTAGGACGTTATATAATCTAGATTGTAAATTTTGCAGAAATATAAATACCTTCACATTTTTAACCAACCCAAGAATATAAAATAATCTGAAAAAAATTTTCTGTTCTCCTCGTTTATTTTTCCAAGTTACATATTCAATTTTCTTCTCCATGTGTATAAACAATGTGGACAGCTCTTAAATGTGAACCCACCATGCCACAGAGAAATTTCATAACATAAAGGTCATTAGAGCAGATTTCAGAATTTAGGTTTCAGGAAAGCATTTTTTTAAGATATAAAAAAGGCATTATTGCCTCATCAGCCCATGCCTCTAAGAAATAAATAAGAAGTTCCAGAGATGAAATGCCTTGTGTGTTTTTTTCTCCTGAGGGAAAACCTAGACACAAGCAGCATCTCAGGCTCATTGTTTGAAAGGGATTACGTTGGCAGGTTTTGCGCAATTTTACTCATCCGGTACACCTCTTCTCTGTTATTTCACTTTCTTTCCAATGCAAAATCTTTAATACACGTAAGCTTTCTGAAGTGTGAGATATTTTACTTTAGTATTTCAAGATTTTAAGATTCAACTTCTCAGTTTATATACCAAGCTTCTATAAACTGCTTGAGAGCACTCTCTGGGAGGGTCTCTGTAGGAAAATATACTTAATTTGGTGCCAAAATTCATCAAGTCTTAAAGGTCAATAGAATCAAATTAGATTGCCTAAAATCCAACTGGTGCTTCTGAAACAAAGTTTACTTTCAAACACATTCTAACACAATTTCTGGAGCTTAATATCAGGAATGCACTAATTTCATAATGGTGAGAGACTTTAGTGGCTATCTCAT